TTTGTGCTTTATAACAACCAATAAATATCAAAATTCTAATATGGAATATCTGTTTTGAGACATCTGAACAAATACTGTTGGTTTAAACAGGAGAAAAATGCTCTAATCTTTGATGGATTTTTCTAGTCGGAATGGATGGATTTCCCAGAAAATGAGTTTTCTACCTGAAGCGTTGAAATGCTTGTGCCTGCTTTAGAAAATTTCAGATCTTTATGTATAATAAGATTTTGAATTTCCTAAGGAAAATGTGAGTGGTGCTTGTCGAGCACGATTTACCGCAACAATTGGGCGTTTCTATGCTGTTGCTAGTGGTTTCCTATTGGACAAAAAATCAAGAGACCCCAGCCAAGTCTCTCTTATTCTGGCCCCCTTTTAAATGCAAGCCTATATGGCGTTCTCACCAATTTTATGGTGCCTTAGTCAAATGTGGGAAGTCTGATCACTTAGAAAAGTAGATGGTCACATTAGGGAAATTTCGCAGACAAAGAAAGGTCTATGTTCTACGGTCAATAGCGTAGTGTTGGTCAATGTGGTGAATTTCTGCGTGAAAAACCTGATGCAAAATGTGCATGAAATTGTTTCGTGTGAAATTCCTTATGACAGCCAAACAAACCTTGTGATTCGAGGTATCAATTATGTCTAGCACAAAGGGAAAGTAGTTACATACATTTTCCTTCATTTTAAAATTGTCTTCCATAATGAAGATTCAACAGATAAACAGTGAAAATATATTATGATTCACTATATGTAGCTCTGTTTGTTTTAAATATGGGAAAAGAACATTACAAATTGTATAAAATGATGCAATTTTCACATATCCTGACTTCCTGTTATCCCAAAAGCAGGCGATTAGTGTAATCTAAGGGGGGAAATTACTAAAAGGACACCTGGGTAATTGACTGATCTGTGTGTAATGTCCTGAATTGTCGTGTTGCTTCCATTAGGTTGCAATTATTTTGCTCTTCGTAACATTTGTTCTCTTTCTCTTAAACATTTGATTTTTTTTCTTTAATTCTCTTGCCTCTCTCTTCTCACCTTTTTTGATTGCCCATGAAGGTTCGGACCCTTAGCGTGTGGATTTTCAAAGTTACGCTGGCCTGAAATTCAACCTCTGAAATGTGTGCCTCTGAGGACTCCATTTATAAAACATTTACAGGAAAGACATGACCTCCAATCTGCTGAAGAGCGTTTATATTCTTTCCGGCTATAGTTGATTCATACATCACATCTGAACGTCGTATCTAAGACTAATTATGTCATATTTGTTATATACGTCAAGTGCTCCTTCCTCTGCGAATATCATTCTCAGAAAGAGAAACGCACAAGGTCTTCCTCTCTGATTCCTTTTCATGCCGTTCATTGCATCCCTATAGAACGAGAGCAACATTCTGCTAACGGCAGGCTCAGGCACGCTGGCTTGCTCTCATGGGTAACAGTAACAAGTTAACAAGCTGCTTCATTGCTTGTTCAGATCCAATTATATGACCATTTAATTACACCCCTTCATCTTGCTCCTGCTCGCTTTTCCTGTAAAAGCACATATTGATTTTCAAGGATGTTATACGTTTACCAGTTTTGTTCACTGTTCCTGTGAAGTGTGTTGGCTGGATGTAGTCGTCATGTTCAAATCTTTAACAAAGTGCTCAATTAACAAGTTGATGAGCGCAGCTTTTTCTTCCAAACCTTTCAAATCAAGCCTGCACATTTCTGTCAGGATCACTATTATCATCAAAGATGATTGACAAGTCGCATACAGTTTGGAATGGCGGTATGGGAGAGCAGTGATAACCATCCTTAGGGTAAATAGAACCGAACCAACATAAATGTTTTGCAGGTATGAATAAAGTTCTGAATGACAATAATTTAATGTAACAAGAAAAATCAAGATAAAGGAATATCTGTAGGCTAAGTCCTGACTATGGACGAGAGGGGGAGCTGGGGATGGAGAAGGGTAATTAATATCTCCTGAGCAATGCGATAAAGCTGCTAATAATACTTTATGCCCCATAGGGATGCTGTGATAGGTATACGTGGATCAGATGAGAGTCAGCTGATGCTAGCTTGACTGACGTGACCTGCCAGAACTACGTTTGATTTGTGTGTTAAATTACCAGTTTATTTATTAAAATCACTAAATTTGTGAACATGGCAAAGTTAAAACTGATAACAAGCACTTTCATTTATTTTGTCAATTATAAACTAAATGCAGGCTATGTACACACACAGGCACACAGGCCTATATAGATGTAGATCATTTGACTTTAATGAATCACTAAAGCTTCTGTTTCCCATGTTGTGTAGAAACAGTCAAAGCATTTCCATGGCTACAGCTTATGTCTGTTTTTACCACAAGATGGCAATGGTACATATAATGACTGACTGTATTCTATTATCAATGTTAACAACCCTTCTGTGGATCCAGTGGTAACTTTAATGTATATTTCAGTGTTTCCTCTGATGTAGCCTAACTCTATTGAAATAAGATGTCTGAGTGACTCACTTTTATACAAGAGGGCAGTATGTAATTGTTTAATACGTCCATCTCCTCTTGGTAACGTCGTCACCCCAGGCGGGAATGTAGACATTTTTGATTGCGAAAAATTATAAACGTGTAATAATGACCCTAAAAAAAAACGTAATTTATCTAAGCTAGGCCTATTATTGTTTTTTCTATAGCTTTATAACTTATGTCCAGCAGTTGACAAAGTGTAGGAAAGTAAGCTACTTATGATGCATTTTTATTCACTTCAAAGATTACTTTCAAGTCACCATGAAATCAAAATAGACAACTCCTTTTTTTTAAATGGAATATCACAGTGTTTATTATAACTTAGGGTAGAGTGGGGTGAAACGCCCCCTTATGTTTTCCCCAAAATAACCACTAGATAAAGTCAAGATATATTTTTGTTACTGCTATGAACTACATTGATAAGAGTGATGTAGAAGTATTCACCGTGAAGCTCACACTGGTGACGTACCTGAGAGAAAACGGATTTCACGTTAAGTGATATAAATTTTAACAGTAAGAAAAAATTTGTTTTAAATCTTGTTGTTTTGCAGAATATCACAGTTATATAAGATATGAGTATAGTAAGGCCTGTAGTTAGGGTCGGGAGAACATGTTATTTAAAGAAAATATAATTATATTTTCAGAATGACAGTAAAAAAATCTCCCACTCTATGGTATTTATGCGTGCAAATATTGTTTTAATTCATGTGCCCTAATCTTTAATCAAATTAACTTCTCCCACTTGCAACAACATCTCTTCTCTGATGACATGTTTACTGGCACGAGGGAGGGACGACCTGTCACTCACATGACATCACAGCAATAGCAAACCACAGCCATCCAACGATCCAATCAATTCCCGATGGACAAAATCAACTCCCGCCCTACATTTTTTCTTCATTCGAGAAGCTGCTTCACTCAGATATAAGTCACAATAGGGAAGAAAAGGCGATTGCAAATTCCTTTTGATACCGAATGTAACAAATCAATTGAATAAATAATTCAATGATGTGTCGCCACCTAATAGTGTAAAGATGTAACTTCCGGGGTCAGTTGCATAAACATAGCCATTAACTTAAGACAATGGCTGCATCTGAAATCACATACTTCCCTACTATATACAGTAGTAGGTGAAAAACAGTATGTGACAAAAGAAGTATGTCCGAAGTCACAGTACTCATAAAAGAGTAGGCAAAAAGCATCCGGATGACCTACTACTTCCAGTGAGGTTAAGGCCACGGGAGAAAATTAATGAATGGCAGTGAAGCGACATATAACTGATGCTGGTAGGTCACATGATAATGACAACATGATTAAAGGGATAGTTCACTGTGAAATTAATTTTTGGTATGTTTTAGCTTCCATCAAGGGCATCCAAGATGTAGGTGTCTTTGTTTCCGCAGTAGTTTAAATTGATATTTTTAGGTCAAACCGTTCTTGTCTGTCAGTCATATAATGCAGGTCTATGGTCACCACCTCAAAGAGCATGCACAGAGAAGTCCAAATTAAACATGATTTAATGACTCGTAAATGTAAGTACACATTGATGGCCTAAGACACGAAACGAGCGGTTTGTGTGAGAAAACGAACAGTATTTATATCGTTTTTAACGCGCAGTCCGAAGCGCCCGCACCCTCAGATCACTTGGACGTGGCTGTGGTTACAAGAGGTAAAAACGATATAAATACTGTTTGTTTTCTCATACAAACCGCTCATTTCGTGTCTTAGGCCATCAATGTGTACTTACATTTACGAGTCATTAAATCATGTTTAATTTGGACTTCTCTGTGCATGCTCTTTGAGGTGGTGACCATAGACCTGCATTATATGACTGACAGACAAGAACGGTTTGACCTAAAAATATCAAAATTGAAACTACTGTGGAAACAAAGACACCTACATCTTGGAGGTAAGCTAAAACATACCAAAAATTAATTTCAAAGTGAACTATCCCTTTAATGTAGTAGCTACATCCAGATTACATTCATATTATAGAACATGCTTTTTTAGTGGTCGTGAAGCAATTGCTACTTATTAAAAATAAGTAGGCTACGTACTTAAGAGAGTAGGCCTATGCGATTTAGGACGTAGCCCGTCTCTTAAGAACTATGTGTGACCAACTAGCAGTTATTTAGGGGTAATCAGTCTTACTTTTCAGTATCAAATTAGACCAATCTTTAATGTAACTGACTTTAAAATATTATGAACAGTCTTACATAAAAAAATTGGATGAATAACGCTATACCTTGTAAGTTGTAAGACCATTTGTTTATGCAACCAGTCCTAAAAGAGCCACTGTAGCCTACTGCTCAATGAAAAAAAAAAACCCCGAATCTCTTCAGTCGTCAGTGAAGGGATTCAAAAGATTCGAGTCACTGATGAATCAAAAAATCCTCACCACTTCAGTCACACACACTCCCCTCCCACCGCCGAGGAGTTCTGCGAGTGACGTCACTCTGGACCCGCCCCCAACGCAAACTCAGTTCTTCGCGTTCATTTCATTCTTGCCCTCATTCCGCGCATACTTCACATCGTTGTTATATACGCAGAATTGTCGAGCTCTCGCGCTCCGACAAGAAGAAGAAAAAAAGTGATCAGCTGGAAATAAATCAGAGCGTGCGCTCGATCCGATTACTCTGCATCAGACACATTTAAAACACTTGAGGTACGTTTGTGCTTTATACTAAGTTGTTAAAAGGGGTGTGAAGTTATAAACGCTATTTAGATTTTCTGTAAAATTGCTTTTAAGTATAAGAATGGTAGATTTTTTTTTGCTACTAGTTATACTAACACTTTATGTGTTTTGGCTTGTATATTATGGATCTGTAGATAAATACTGAGAGAATAGAGGCTAGTTTTATTCCCAGTTCTTAAAGTGCCACGGCAAAAATAAGCAGCCTTTCACGATGAAAAAGGAAAAAAATACACTGTGCCAAACGAGGTAGGCTAGTTAAATAAAGCTATTAATGTATTTTTTTTTTTTTTTTGTAGATTGTGCACACACCCGCAGATATTTTCATCATTTGTGGAGGTTCAGAAAACAGTTTTTGATTTTATCTATGCCAACTAGTTGACCACGATCTCGTTGTAACAGTAAGTTCATATTTACTTTAATAGTAGGCTAAACCTCACGCTGTGACTCATGTTTCTGGCACGACTGAATCAGTGTCATTGATTTCTGGTTATTAACTTGACCTCAGTGACTTGTGGATGTTTAGGCGATTATTTGGTCCGGTTAACACCCCGCTCCCGTTTTTGCTTTCCTGAAAAACGCCAGTTTTGTGTACATAAATAAAGGATTAGGGAGAAAGTCCATGGTCCAGCCCCTGTTAATAATTAATCTGGACGTTAGAAAGCCCTCAGACTAAAATTAGTCTCTGGTCTAAGACAGTCTCAAAAACTGCCTACCTAGACAGCATTTTTTGGGTATCATGTGTCATATGTTGGTCTCATTTGTCATATTTCCCTCTAAAAGACTGAAGAAACAGTGACATATGCTTTATAGCTATTTTCCAATTTTATTGCGATTTTTAATTTTACTGTCTGCCATTTAAATAACATGATAGAGACAACTTTTAAGGGCTAATCTAACTGACTTGGAAGACTTGATTCATTTTGTGCAATCTGTGTGTGAAAAGCATTGTGAAAAGTTGAATAACTGTGTTTCATTGTAAACATTATGTACATGTCTTATACTGTAGGACACAGGCTACTGTAGTACTTCAAGAACATGTCTTATACTGTAGTGCATTTGTAGTATTATTTTTTGTCTTTCCCCCCCCTCTCCAACTGCTGTCTGACAGAGGTGTGTTGTCTCAGATGAGATCGACCCCCTTCGCCATTGTCTTGTTGTTTTGACTTGCCAGTCTATTTAACTTATGTAAACAGAGTAGATAAACCCTTTCAAAATTTAAATACATTCTTACGCCAGCTCCTAAACAATGTTTTTTGACTATATCAGTATTAAAAATCAATATCTGTGACAGTTTTCATTCATTTTTGAATGTAATTTAATCAAAACCTAACAAGTATTTTGAAGTGTAGGAACATATGGCCACTTAAGTGGAACGGAACGCATCTGAACTTTTTGTTTTCTTCTCTTCCTTTATGAGTTTAACATTATACTGACATAACCTTTCAGAGGGAGGGAATCAATTAGTTAATTATGCTATTTTCTTTTTCTGTTTTCAAGAATTAAAACTTTGTCAGAGAAGGGAAAAAGAAATGTGCCTGATTTACTAGTCACGGCTTCCTCTGGGAGCACGGGATTGTGGGAAAATGGGGGAAGGGGCCCTTCATTGTTCCTGCTGTTATTGAAGCAGGGGCTCGTGGAGCGGCTGAATTACTCCACAAACAGTCCCGCTCCCATGCTGACATCTGGTTTGCCACTTAAGCGCACCTGTAGGCTGAAAGATGCTAAACTGTGTATTCATTCTGGCGCTAGACTAATTCAGAGGAACGGCCATTTGTTTGACTGTTGCTGCCACTCATCTAGCCAACTCTATTGTTATGCCAGCAACAGGCGATAGTGGTGGAGGCACCATATGGCTTGTGTGTGCCTCGATGTTATCTGGTAATTTAGCTTATCAACACCATTATGTTGTATTTTGTCCTTTCTTTTACATGTCTTTTTATGCAAAGAGGGTGTTTGGCTACATAAACACAATCCCTCTTTTACTAAACTTACTCAAAGTACAATTAATACCTTTGGTTTACATACAGTTTAGGGAACAAATGACTCAATAATTGCAATTTTTGATAAGGGAAAGGCTAGCAAAATTGAGCAAAATTTATCATGCGTATAATAAATATTCCCTACATTTTGTTGAAGTTTACATAAAAAAAATGTGTTTTAGTTTTTTTTAAATGAAAAAGTCAAAAATAATCCCAAGTTTTTGCTGAGCGTTAAGCCATTTTCTTGTGTCATGTTTTTAGAAATAAGTTCAGATATCTGAGGCGAAGATGCCAAGTATTTAAGCAACAGGTGCTTATGACTAGCATTGTATGAGACATTTTCTTTGGGTTGTTTTTGCTTATCAAAAGAAGAGAAATTAGCTATTTTAATATAGCGGAATGGTTTTCGGTGTAGAGATTGATGCTAAATTTGACCATACGAACAAATATAATGTTGGTTTTATAAGTTACATGTTACCTTGTAGTTTCATCTTTTTCTTTTGGCATGCTCAAAATCACAAGTCTTGTATGATAACTGGAGGTGGGGAGTTGGGGGGGGGGAGGTGGGGGGGTATACGAAACCCGAAAAGATTTGTCGGAGCAAACGTGAGAGGGGGGCCTGAAGGGGCGACAAAGGAAAATTCATATGTAATGAAATTTGGGTTGAGAGTTTGTCAGCTGAACAATAGCTCAGTGGGACTGTGTGTAGCAGGGGCACGGGTGGCCGGCTTTGTTCAGGGAACACAGGAACAATAGGGTGTCCTCTGTGGCCCGGGGCAGCAGGAGGCCCACGCCGTGCCCTGAGGTAAACTCTGTTGTCACAAAAGGACGGCTCTCTCCACACAGCCCACCGCTCCACCGCTCCACGAGACCAAGGACAGCCAGAGAGAGACCCTTACTGGAACTCTGCCACTGACGTCAGCACGTCCTCTCCAGGCTGGGCACTGGACGGCCTTTTAGCTAGCTTGTAAATGTTGCTGGACTTAGCTTAAGGAAAAGTTTTTGAGTGATTTCAGAAAGAAGAAAAGAAATACTGGAGTGAATTACTGTGAAAGAAATGGATAGATACTTGAGTGAAATAAAGAGGAAACAAATGATCTTCCCTGATATATATAGACAGACAGACAAACAGATAATTGAGTGATTTTGAAAAAGTTTTATCTCAAAAGATGATGGATGGATGGATGGATGGACAAGCAGATAGTTATTTTGGAAAAGTATTATGAAAAAAGATCAGATAGATAGATAGAACAATAAGATGATGGTGCGATAAATAGAACAATAGATAGAGTGAGTGAGTGAATGGATGGATGGATGAATGGATGGATGGACAAGCAGAGAGTTATTTTGGAATTTACTGTATAGATCATGGCTTTGTGTGGTTTGGTAAAAACCGAAGAGCTTTTCTTTGTGTAGGTTGTTTAATTATTATCAAATCTGTTTTTCTTTTAATGTTCTTCAGCTCAGTGGAAACGTCAGAACAACACTTTAGGGAGAGTCAGAGTGAAATCAGTCACTAAATGAGTCAGTTCCTGACACAAGCGCAGAGCTCAGAGTTCCAGTTAAACAGCCCATTATTCACCTATTAATCAGAGGTGGTCTCTCCTTCCAGTTTACAGTTGATACAGCTGTTAAAACAGCATTTCAGGCAAGAGTTAGTACCTTGTTTATAGTACCTTGATAGTGTTTTTAAAAGAAAAGACATGCTCCTGAACAGAACTAACAAAAAACAAAGCACAAAAACCTTTTCCTATTGGGACAGTACATCAACAAAAAGACGCCGCTGTGTCCTAGATAGATTTAGCCAAGAAAGGGTGAGCAAATCTGTTTTGATACAATTTGATCAGATGTACTGTGAGTTTTGAAAAGACTTTCTTCACCGTTTATAAGAAGCATCTGTGTTCTCTGTGCGAAACCGTATCTGTGGTAAATCGGGACGAGAGCGTGGTTCACGGCACCCTTTGGAGTAAATGTATTTGTCCCCTGCTGGATGGTCAGGAAAGGTTATGAGCAAACACTGGTCATGCTTCTCGGGAGCTCACACTTATTTGAGCACGTCGTCTCTTCCATTTCCTGGAGGAGGCATTGTGGGACGGCGTGGGGAGAGTGGCACCCCAGGAAGACATTGGATAATAGCGGGGTCTGACTCAGCGAAAAATAGCCTGCTTCAGAAGAATGGAGCCTGTGGAGTGATCATAGAACATGTCTGCCCCACAACACTGAGAGGAAGCCGGTCCACTCATGGATTGTCTTCAAGGAAGTGGACTTTGTACGTGGCCTCTGGCAGTGTAGCCACTGAATTGAATCATTTAAGTACAAGGTCCTGAATCAACTTTCCTGTACCAACCAATTATATTGCAGGAACACGAGGGGACATATAACCTTGCTCACTAATATTAATTAGGGATCCACTAGGGATGCGCAATATATCGGAAGCATATCGGTTATCGGCAGAATTTTATTATAGATTTATTTGATTTTTTTTTTTAAATTTATTACTGTTGATATTGTATATTTAATCGTGCATGCTCATTTTTGCATTTAAAATATCTTTTCTGTCATCTAACACTCACTTAAAAATTCAAACATGGATAATTTAACAGTTAAAAATGAATCTTTGGCAAATCGCCAAATAAATATCCATGTCTAATACTGTACATTATCATGTTGTGATCCCTGAATTCACTTGTAGCATTGATTTTATAAAATATTGGCCATTTATCGGTTATCGGTCAATACACTAAAGATAATTTTTTTGTAATTTATCAATATCAGTAGATGTCGGATAATTGATTGTGCATGCTCATTTCCACTGTTTTTCATTTAATTTGTCTTTACCGTCATCTAATGCTCACAAAGTTCATTTTTTAATAGCACTGATAATTTAGTAACACTGTTAAATGTAATCTCACCATGATGCCTAAATTCAAATAACATTTAAAATGATTGATTTTTTGTGTTTTTGTTTTGTTTTTACTGTATAGAATTTTA